TTTTCCAATGATTTTGGAAATGAGATTTCAAAGCGTATCATTTCTTAAAATGAAATATTTTAAGGAATGATACAGTGCATGGTGGCCTCAGAGATCGGGATGTGGGAATCGCATCCTTGGGGGCAGGTCCCGAAACCCGTACGGATCCACTTCTTGTTTAGTGGAATTATGACTCTGCACTTTTCATTAGACAGACATTTTTACCGCTTCTTGTTTAGTGGTATGATGAGCTGCACACTTTCATTATACAGACATATTCTATTATGTGAGTATTTCCTTTTTTTTCAAAAAAAAAAAAGGATGATCGGTTCCGGGTGTATATCTTCAGACCGTGAGTACCTTTATTTTAAATGTTTTATAAAATTATATCCTACTGGACCTTTCGCTCACCTTTTCCTGTTTTCAAATGTATTAAACCCCTCCAGTTTTTTGGATGATCGGTTCCGGGTGTATATCTTCAGACCGTGAGTACCTTTATTTTAAATGCTTTATAAAATTATATCCTACTGGGCCTTTCGCTCACCTTTTCCTGTGTTGAAATGTATTAAACCCCTCCAGGCGACGCGAGGAGTAGTGCGGAGTAGGTAGCTACTACCGGTGACGTGGACTTGTTTCAGGAAAGCGAAGAGTTGTATTTCCTCTTATCTTTTATTTCAAGGCATGTATAAGAGATTATGGATTGTAAACTTAAATATTACTAGACTGTGGTTGATGTCATATTTTCTTTTGTTTATGTTCATGTATGCTAAACACTTATGGAAATTCCTGACATGATACCAGGGATGTGATTTTAGACTGGTTTGGTTGGAAATTTCACCACCGTTCTTGAAATTAAATTCCTCTTGAATGAAAAGGGGGCTCGTTTGGAAATACCTAGACGTTTTGGATTTGAAAGAAATTAAATTATTTGCAACGTTATTTGCTAATCACTCTCAAAAACAGGTTTAAGTTTCTAAACGAGCCTCCACATCACTATCTCCAGTTTGGGGGCGTGACAGATAC